AAAAGGAAGGACCAAATAAACCGGGTCGCAGGTAGCAGGTCCACCTTCAGTACAACATCGCGGCCCTGCTGCCTGCTGCAGTAAATACCGTATATATGCTATGTTGCTACACCTCTTGCACACCTATAAAAGTTCAAAGCACGAATGAGACTTCAAAGCTGTGGATTGCTGTGCGTGTGTAAAGGTTATCGAGCGGTTGACGGAAAGGGAACTTGAAGTACAATACCTGGTAGCTGAATTGTAGCTACCCTGGGTATCTTTACCTGGCAAGGCGCCAGCTACACCTTACCATTCAGATGATGCAAATGATGCAAATTGTATTTCTCGCATCACCACCCCCTGAAAAATCACAAAAACTTAACCTCAAAAACCTCACTTCCGCGCACCCCTCTCCCCCCCCCTAATTTCGAGTTTACGTAGAGGCCCCCTACTTACTCACTTCGTTCGCCAAATACAACTCAGCTGGCGCCTTCTACGAAGGCTGGCTTTCGTAATCTTTTGGATGGTTTGTGGTCCAAAATAGAGGTCATTCAGGTTCTAGGTATATATATATATTAATATATATATATATATATTAACCTTTGTAGTGAAGCTACACCTAAGGACCTACTCCACTCCACTGAGGGGATGTGAAAAAGGTCGAGCCTTTGCAAGGGTTCTGATCACTAGGCTGGCGCAGTGATTGCATACGATCGAATCAATCATCAATGTGTTCTGCAAAGAAGCCCTCTCGGGGTATACGGATGTATATGGTATAGGAGAAAGACATATTTGACCTTTCAAACGGGACAAACGCGAGCAAGGACGATACTTGCATACTTGGATCAAGAAAATGTGCTCTGAAACTCTGAAACATAAGTCATTTTATGAAGGAAAGGCAGCGTTATAGAAGGAGAGAGCCTTGTAAAGCGGGACACTGTGATAAACATGTTTATGATTAGGCATATCGTCAAAGGATTATATAAGACTCGTTTGATTTTTTTGAACAAGTTGGATAGTTGAGGATACGATCATCCATGTTTATTCTCAAAACAAGGCTTAAAGTGAGTGTGTATATGGATCACGTCCCATCTAAAAAAAATGCAGCTTGTTGAATTGATGTTTATAAAATGTTTAGAAAGGACAACAATGTGACCCCAGCATCTTTTTTTCCCTCTGCAAGACTTCTTGAAAAGGTAGCTCCTTATGATGAAGGGTGCACATTGACATACAAGTACATGCTGAATCCTTCTGCTCACACACACACACACATAAAAAGTAAAACAAGTACAGCATGAAAGTGGACCCAGAGGCCCCTGTTGCGAATTAGCCTGGTGTGGTCGTCCTTTGAAACAGGAGTTGACACACACACAAAACAACAAAAATCAAAGAAACATGAGCAAAACACGCAAACTCCCACACCGCGCGCCGCACGCAAACTCTCGCCCCCTTGGAGGACCCCATCGGCCTCTCCGGCAGGGTGGGGGGCAGCGATGGCTGGGTGGTTCTGTTCTTTTTCGCCCCCCCAAAAGCGGGAGGCGACCGAACGAAAAGTGACCAGTTGGTTGGAAAAAACAAGGACAAAAAACAAAGTTGCCCAAAAATTGTACATCCAATGAACCAAACAGGAGCTTTTCACATGTTGCAGTTTTGCAGTAAATAGTGCTTTCAAAGGAAGGGCCAATCATTTACTGGGTATGGCGGACAAGACTTGGGAGGGGGCATGCCAAACACCAGTTTATTAAGAAAACCAAACTCTCCCATCTAACCTGACACATGTCGAGGTGGGAATGGCATCAGCATGAGCAGTGAAGCTTACTTGAGCCTCAAGTTTGCATCTGAAAGCAGGAACAAGTGTCAAATCATTGGTCATGATTACAGAAATTACCTGATGTTTCAACAATATATCAATCCATCTCCACGCGCTACTTGCGGCCTTGGCCAAAACCAGGATGCGCAAGCAGCGCAAGGTATGATAGTTGAAGGCATGCCTGGTGGGTACATACCCGGACCCTGGACTTAAAGTACCTTAGAACATGGGACGTGACCCTAGAATTAGAAAATGGGACATGAACCTATAAAAAAGCACCAGGAGTCACAAAGGGGTGGTGTTTAGTCCCTAAGTGAGTGGATAATGGGCACCCCTAACCTCCATTAAGCACCCCTTTGTGACTGCTGGCAGGTACTTGTACCCATTGTCTGAGGTACGAACTGAGACTCCAGGAAACGACCCATGGTCCAGAGGAACTCCGGGAAACCCGAGACACTCGGAGACGGTCTCGGCATATTTACCTAGAGGTGGTTGAAAAGGGTTGATGTACACCCGGGGTTGTTTGACCCACATGAAACTTGAAATGGACCGAAATGGAGCGGCTATCTTCCTCTACAACACAGTGGTTTTCAGGTTCCATGTGGGTCCCTTCCAGGGCGTCAATCTTCCAGTCCCTGGAATGTTTTACATACCGAATCATGGTTGTTGTTCCCCTCATGCCGATGATCTGCACCGCCGAACACGTCACCGAACACGTCGCAGAGCGCATCAATCTTTTCTGTGGGGCGAACCGTCGCGAGCGACGCTGGAAAAATTGGTCAACGTGGACTTGGTTGGAAAGAACACATGTCGCTTCTCATATATGAGCGACGCTGTTTATTTGTTATGTGGGCCTTGCACATTTCAATTTGGTGAGTGTACTATGGCTTTCAACGTTTTGAACCTTACTTATGTTAAAGGTTATTTTCACAATGCGGCAGACTTTTTGGACATGGAAGCAGACGTGCGACGGTCAAAACTCCTTCTGTGTGGTATAAGGTCATGGGTATCGCCTTCAATGGTGGCATCGCTACACACAGCGCCAGCATTTCTGACTTGTCGCCGTTTGGCGGGGGCAGTAGTAGAAGTAACAGTAGCAGTAGCAGTAGGAGTAGTAGCAGTAGTAGTAGTAGCAGCAGCAGCAGTGGTGGTAGTAGTAGTAGTAGTAGTCGTCGTAAGGGTAGTAGTAGTTGTTGTTGTTGTTGTAGCAGTGGTAGTAGTAGTCGTCGTCATCGTCGTGTCGTAGTAGTAGTAGTACTGGTAGTAGTAGTAGTAGTAGTAGTAGTAGTAGTAGTAGTAGTAGTAGT